TTTCTGAAGAAGGGTCTAGGCCCGAAACATCAGCCTTCCTGCTCCTCTGATGCTGCTTGGCCTGCTGTGTTCATCCAGCTCTACACCTTGTTATCTCAGATTCTCCAGCATCTGCAGTTCCTACTATCTCTACAGTTTTATAGTAGCCTCTTTTATGCACAGTTTTTACATACGTTAATATTTTAACACTGTGGTGTCACAGAGCTGTGTCTATTGTACACAATTTTGCGTGACATCTGTCTGGGGAAGTAGGATATAGTTTAAGTACTTGCTAAATGTAAGTGAGAAATTATATAATTTCAACTGCTATTGCTAGTTTTTGACAGTTCCTATACATTCATGCAGTTTCATGGAAGTGCTGTAATGATAGTAAGTTTCTTAAAGGGGGTAATGGCCCTATTTAATACATATTTAAAAAGTATAAATCAATATGTTAGTATAAGATGGTAGTCCTAAATAAAAGTTAGAAATAGGTAGTACAGTCTTGTAGAAATAGGTAGAGTATAAGGAAATTTCAGAGATAGAAAGCAGCAGACTGGAGACCTGCTGGTAGAGGAAACTGTTTGATGTCCTGCAGCCTATTCAGATCCCAAGAGTCGCTTACTAAGGGCTAGTTAATACCATAATCTTTCCATAGTTTCGAGTGAGTTATGGAGACACGATGGCAGGGATGACATTGTTCTGAATAGGTTACAGTATTGACACATATTCGGGGTAGCCTTTGATACAGAAAAACTGTTTGTAGCATGGGGCCGATAAGAATTGAAAGGCGTAAAGAAACGGTATTTGGTTGGCAGACTAGAAAGGGATGTTTAATTTAGTTTATCTTGTAAGAGTGAAATGTATTACGAAAATGTGGTTTTATGAATGAATGAATGGAAACACAGTACAGTAAGCATGGTGCTCTTGTGAGTGAGTTAGTAAAGAAAATCATAATACAATATCTCACACTGACAATAAATCCATTTAGCTACAATTGGCTATTCTACAGCCCTCTCTGCATGTCTTGTTTCTCCAACATGACAGGACACAATCTGCAGGAACAGGTGATACACAGTTTACAGAGAAAATAGGAAAAGGAACAAAAGGGTAGGCAATGGCCTAGTGGTATTATCGCTCGACTATTAATCCAGAAACCCAGCTGATGTTCTGGGGACGTGGGTTCAAATCCCACCATGGCAGATGGTGGAATTGGAATTCAAAAAAAAGGAATCTATTGATCACCATGAAATCATTGCCAATTGTTGGAAAACCCTATCTGGTTTACTAATGTCCTTCAGGGAAAGAAATCTGCCACCCTCACCTGATATGGCCTACATGTGATTCCAGACCCTCGGCAATGTGGTTGACTCTCAACTGCCCTCTGAAATGGCCTAGCAAGCCACCCAGATGTACCAATCGCTACAAAGACTCAAAGAAATGAAACTGGACGGATCACCTGGCATCGACCTAGGCACCGGAAAAGACAACGGCAGAAACAGCCCTGTCAACCATGCAAAATCCTCCTCACTAACGTTTGGGGGTTAGTGCCAAAATTGGGAGAGCTGTCTCACAGACTATTCAAGCAACAGCCTGACATAGTCATACTCACAAATCATACCTTACAAACAATGTCCCAGACACCACCGTCACCATCTCTGGATATGTCCTGTCCCACTGGCAGCACAGACACAGCAAAGGGGGTGGCACAGTGGTATACAGTCGGGAACGAGTTGCTCTAGGAGTCCTCAACATTGACTCCGGACCCCATGAGGTCTCATGGCTTCAAGTTAGACGTGGGCAAGGAAACCTCGTGCTGATTACCACATACCGTCCTTCCTCAGCTGATGAATCAGTACTCCTCAATGTTGAGCAACACTTAGAGGCAGCACTGAGGATGGCAGGGGCACAAAATGTGCTCTGGGTGGGGGATTTCAATGTCCACCACCAAGAGTGGCTTGGCAGCAATAGTACTGATCGAGCTGATCATGTCCAACAGGGCATAGCTGCTGGACTGGGTCTGTGGCAGGTGGTGAGGGAACCAAAAAGAAGGATAACATACTTGACCTCATCCTTACTAATCTACCAGCTGCAGTTACATCTGTCCATGACAGTATT